TAGCTGCCATGTGGGTGCTGGGAATAGAACCCAGGTCCTCTGCAAGAGCAGCCAGTGAGCTTAACCGCTGAGCCAGCTCTCCAGTGCCAGCATTTCAGGCTTTAAATTAAGGTCCACTTTGAATTGATTTCTATGCGAGGTGAGGGGTATGAATCTAATTTAATTTTTTTGGCAGTGGATATCTAGTTTTGCCAAGACCATTTATTGAATAGATTCTTTTTCTCAGGACATGTTTTTGACAGTTTGGTCAAAATTTATGTTTCCATACCTATGTGAGTTTACTTATGGGTTCTTGTCATGCCAAATTCCCTTCCCTTCTGAGAGACCCGCATACTCTCTGAGATTCTGTGTCTCACAGTCTTAATGAAGATTGACAAAACCTACATAATACATTCTATTTGGGTTTTAGTATGGTTTATGATATCTGGGAAAGGGTGACTTACAAAGTTCCATGGCCCATCTTTTACATTTTGGCTAAGCTTTGGAATCCATGCCACCAATGCTGCTTGGTCTGTGTGCCTCACCCCACCCCTTTGTGGCTCTGTTCCCTGTGTCCAAAATGGCTACTACCCCTCCCCTTTTGCCCAATGTGCTCAGCTTTTCTCAGCATCTCTCTCAGCATTGGCATTTACCCAACATCCTCTACTATGTTTCATTGCTCTACATGTCTGTTTTGGTATAAGTACCATGTGATCTTTGTTACTATTGCTCAGTAGCACAGTGTGTGGTCAGGTGGGTGGCACCTCCAGCAGTGTTCTTTCTGTTTAGGATTGCTTCAGCTATCAGTGGTCATTTGTGTTTTCATATAAATTTTTAGATTGTATTTTCTAGCTCTGGGAAGAATGTCATTGGAATTTTGGTGGAGACTGAATAAAAGCCTGTTGATTATTTTGATAGTATAGCCATTTAAAAGTTTTTAATAAAATTTTTATTGGTATATATTCATTGTGCATGAAAATGATGGGTCTCAAGAAGACAATTTCTTTTGCGCCCACCCTGTACTTTGACCATAGACATCCCCATAGTCTTTCCTTCCTGACTTCTGTCTTTCCCTACTCCTGCTAGTCTTATTATTTCCTTTTCTGTAAGGTAGCTTTTTAATTTTATGCAATGCAATTTGGCAAGTTTTGGATTGTTTCTGAGTCCTTGGAGCCCTTTTCAGAAAGTTATTGCCTATTCCTATATCCCAACGTGTTTTGCTTATGCTTTCCTCTAACAGTTTTAAAGTTTGTAGTTTTAAATTAAATGGCCATGGTGAGGAAAGGCTTCATGGGAACAGAGATAGGATGTAGTAACATAAAGGAGGAAATAGGAATAATGGTGCAGGAAGGGATAAAGGGGGCAGAGAATGAGAAGGCAGAGCAGGGAATGGAGTACGTTTTTATTAAAAACACTGAAGGCCTTTAGAAAAAGTCACATGGAAACTTACCACTTTCCTATAACAGGGGACACTATCCCTACTAGATACCATAGGCTAGTAAATAAAAACTCCAGTGCCAGGAATGGACTCCCTCTTTTGAAGCTGTTGACCAGAGTTCCCATAATCCTCAAACAATAAGACCATTGCCCATGGTTACCCACTAGAACTTGACAGTAAGAACCTATTTCTGTTTGTAGAACAAACAAGGAGAAATCAAGCTGGTACTGACTTCAAACTTTGTCTCTACTGGCTAGCTTATATAGCTTTTATATTTTTTAAGCCATAAACCTTACCCAGCTGTGAATCCTGGTACCTACAACAACAAGATATGGACTGGCAAGATATGCACACTGGCACAATAGTGCCATGAATGTTATGAGAGTAACCAACCACTTTATGATTAAATTTAAGGTCTGCTTCACAAGATGGAGCCCATACCTGACACTGATATCAGGCCTGGAAAACTGTGACTAGACAGGTCACAGGTCATAGGGGAGAGCCTACTAATATTATTCTATTAAATAGACATAGTATTAAACCAATTCCTAATGACTTATTTTTATACCTATTTAATATTATTCTATTAAATAGACATAGTATTAAACCAATTCCTGATAACTGATTGTTATATCCATTGATTAATACATATCTCAACTCTCACAGGATAAGCTTCCTAATGCAGCAGATGGTGATTAGCATAGAGACCCACAACTGGCCAAAATGCAAAGAATACAAGACTTATCCCTGAATAGGATAGCTGTATCAAACTTCTGCCTCCCAAGGCTCAGTAATCATTGTGGAAGATGGAGTGAAAAGATGTAAAGCCACCTTGTGGTGAATGACCACAAGGAAACAGAGTTCTCTGATATTTGGTCAGTTACTCATATGAACTCACAGCATTGTTGACACAGCACACCCAAAATCCACATAGGCTCAAGCCAGACAAAATCCCAGCAAGTGGGCGAGGAGCTCCAACCCTAGTTGAGGAACTATTGGCAACTGATACTGCTGGGAAAGGGAGATTCAGTTTTGTTAAGGTTGTGATGTTGAATAGGTTAATCAGTCTCCAGAGGATGGGCTAATTCAAAGGGCATTTGGGACACAAATTTGACTTGATAGTCCTTTATACATATATGAAGGGGGTCTAAACATGATCAAAATATAGGGTGTGAAATTTGAAAAAACTTCAATAAAAAATGAAAAAAGAAAAATGATTAAAAAAGTTAAAAGCTACAAAAATCAATACTCACCTTAAAATATTTTTGATTCATTTTCAATTGATTTTTGTACTGGGTGAGAAGAAGGGATTGTTTCGTAAGATACAGTCATGTGGTCGTCCATCACTTGAACTAATCTTTTCAGTGGGTGATCATCACATCAGAGGAAATATTTTTCTTTTAAAATGGTCATTGAGTTTTTCTGTGAGCAACTCTTATCTGGAGATATTCTTCCTGATGTCCTTAACATCTCTTCATAACATCCATTTCCAATTTCATACATGTTTACTGATCTCTTTCTTCTTGTTCTTATCTCCTGTCTCAAGTCTATGTACTCTTAACTTTCAGGCTTCATATTTATAGATGTTATTCACATATTTATAGAGCCCCTCCTATGTGCCAGATACCATGCTAGGCACTAAGAGTACAATGATGACAAAGTCATTTAACATGCACAGACCAGTGTGCAGAGCTTTAAGTCTACCATGGGGACAGGCAATTATAAACAATGAAGGGTATGGGGATTGAAGATGCGTGTGGGCTCTTTATCAAGAGTAAATGGGATAGAAGAAAAGAGATAGCAGAATGTAAGAGTGAGAACAAAAGCTAGATGAAAGGGAGGGAGAGAGAAAGGGGGAGAGAGAAAGAGAGAGAGATTTGATTAAACAACTCAGAGGAATGCCTTCTTCTCTGTGTTCAGTGTGGCAGGACTTGGAGGTGAGGAGGGAGGAGTAGGCAGCTGTGCTTTAAATTGGGGAATGACAATGTTGAATTTCAACCCTTCCCCAAGACATAGGAAACATCGAAGCTGCTCTTTAAGGAGCCTGGGATACCGTAACCTGAGTGGGGGAGAGGACTAGTTTAGTATCTGTGGTTTTGTAGAAACTGGCATTATTTGAGAAATATTTAAATGATAGCATAATTTATGGAACTTGGTGATAGATATTAGATAGTAGGAGAGAGAAAGTAATTAAGAAGATGCCTGATTTCTGACTGAGGAAGCTAGAAAGCTAGTCAGGTCTTCCATGAGATGATGGACAAGCAAGAGGAGCAGACTTGAGTGTAGAAAGCTGAGTTTACTGAACTGAGTAAAAATGTTTTATTTGTATGTGTGTATGTGTGTGAGCGTACTTACCTGTGTGGGTACATATTCCTGTGCGGGTACATATTGAGGTCAGAGGATAATGTTGGGATATCTTTGTTCAATCATTTCACCTTATTTTTTTGAGAGATGTTTTCCAGCTGACCAATAAGCCTCCATAATCTCCCTGTCTCGACCCCCAGCACTGGAGTTACAGGCACATCTTGCTGTGCTCAGCTTTTTACATAGGTTCTGGGACTCTGAACTCAGGTCCTCAAACTAATTTTAACCCTCTAAATTTTGATACTAGATTTGAAGTGCCTAAGATATCTAAGAAGATATATGTGGTACTCCAATTAAGATTTTCCATTGTCAAATTTGTTTGGAAAAATTAACATATTTGCATCCTATATTTAAGGAGTACTAAGGATTGACAGAGTTTACAGTAAACAATCTTTTCATCCTTGTTTGCTTCAGTTTCTTGCAGTAGCCAGTCCCCATTGTGTATTACTTGAGAATCTGAGTGGCACAAGGTGACAGAGAGGGGGAGAGCTAGCTTTCCCAAATTAATTCTTTCAAGTCAAGCCCTGAGAGCATCATTCACTGAGAAATTGGTGCTCAGTGCTTGATTCCTACTTTCTAAAGTGTCAGTAACACATTTGGATTGTTGCCTTTGACATTTCTAGCCTTTAAATATAAACCTCTGTAGGACTCAAAATTGGAGACATGTTCTTCAGAACATAGTGCTTGTAGTGGTTACAGTGTTTGCCAAACAGCATTATTTTTATCCTTCAATTTGAATCCAACTGTCATTTCTTGCCTCTGGAAATTAACTTTTTGGAGAATTATTGTTAAATATTATTATTACTGACTTAAGACAAAGTTTCAGATCAGCTCAAGTTCTGTTATCAAAGACAGATCAGGACTTCAATCTAGGTCTTTGACTCTGAAACTCTGGTGGTGGGAGCAGGCATACAGGATAGATCTACAGGAAACTGTGAGGTGTCATCACTACGGAGAAGCACTGTTCTTTTTCTAGACAGGAACTATGACCTAACACCCTAGAGTACCAGGACTCAGATTGGTATGTCATGTCTTCCTTTGTTTCCCAGAAACCAGTTTAGAGTAGGTTGTGGGGGAAGCTTCTAAAGCGCTACTGGGGACAAGTTGAATCTCTGAGACTAAGAAAGTCGACTCACTTCCTCCATCTTCTGGCTTGGGCTTCCTGTCGTCACAGCCTGATCGTATTTTTCTCTTTCACTTCTCCTTTTATACAAAAAGACTCACACTTCTGTGTTACGAGCCTGTGGTGGCCACCTTAAAGATAATCACCAAATTCTGCCTTATTGACTGAGGGACAGTGCCTGAAAAAGGTAAGGTTGATGGCTTTTAATATGATTTGAGAGAACAACTCTGAACCAATTAATGTGGGGTAGGGTGTTTTAGGAGTCTCAATACACCTCTCTGGTCACTTAAAAATTTCCGGTTTCACAAATATTTAGATCAGTCGTGCACTCAGAGGCAATGAGGCTAAAAGTACTTTGATAATTGGGGTTTAAATCAAGCACTGTAATAGTGTATATTGTTTACTGTATATGATGATTTCTGATGCTTGTAGCTTTCTCTGTGAGATGAAGTTGGGGAGATTTTCTATGTTGTTGTTCCTTAGGAAACTGAACTTCTGATTTTTAAAGTGGGGAGAGAACTGATAGCCAGAGTGATTTAGAAAGGCAGCTGAAAGATGTACTTTCTCTATTTGAAAAATTTCCAAAATTAAAACGAGTGGTTGCCATTGCCAAGCCTCAGAGCTGCTAAGTAGAAGGATAGCAAAAAAATTGTAATGCAGCAGGTGCCCAGTAACTGCGCTTTATGAGTTGATGCCTCAGTACCCCCAAGGGATGCTTAATTTGGGGATTTTCCAAGAGCATTATGATCTATAGGGCTCCCCCACATTAACTTATCCTTGATATATAAAATGTGAACATTCATAAATCTCCTACTACATGTATATATGAGAGGAAATCCATGCAACTTGATACAGAAATAATTTCCAACTCATGGGCCATAACTAATTTTAGGTTGCAAATAGCAGGTCATGACTTTTTTTTTTTTTTTTTTTGGTCTTTTTGAGGCAGAGTCTCCCTGTCTCCCCTGTAGCCTCAGCTAGCTGGCTTGGAATTCTCTGTGTAGACTAGGCTGGCCTTGAACTTACAGAGATCTGCATGCCTCTCTGTCTCCCAAGTGCTAGGATTAAAAGCATGAGCCACCATGCCCAGCCAAGGTCATGACTTTTTGCAATCAATATGGTCATTTCTTGTCAAAACAGAGTATCTGTATCATGTCCTTCTTCCTCAAGGAACCACGAGAGCCCTGTCTGATTATGACCTAGAGGAGAATGAGGAAAGTCCCCTGTGACCACATCCACTCACTTGAAAAATAAGGGTAATGATGGGGAGAGGTCTGTAGATTCCCAAAGGCTCCCTCAGAGGCTACTAAACCTTACATTTAGAAATAATGAAAAGAGTTTTTAATGAAATAGGTTAACAGTCAGGGGTTAGGCACTTCCTGAAGCCAGACACTGCTTTGGTAGGTACTGTAGTGGGAGAGAAAGAACAAGGCAGAAGGGGAATATTTGGCCAGCAATAGTCCTACCCCTTTAAAGAGCTCTCATGGGCAGTTAGACAGACCGAGCCACAGAAGAATCTTAGCTGCTGGATGAACAAAATTGTGCTTTCTCAATCATGAGCAGAATCTTCAGTGTTTTGAAACTGTGGTTGATTAGGAGCAGATGCTGAACTGAAACATGGTTTCCTGTGCGTTTCCTGTGTGGGCCAGTGAAGAGTACTTCGCTTTTTAATATAATGATCTGGAACCTATAAAAGGTTCCAGAATCTACTGGAAGTGATTCAAAGCCTATGCTTTCACAGCTACTTAACTACCACCCAAAGGATCTCAGTTTTGTTTATTAACAAGCTAGAAAGAAAAAACTCTATTGGTTCTTAGCTTCTTGTAGTCTCTTGTTAGCCCCTGACTGTCCAGAAGCCCTCAAATTCCCATTTTCCTTTCCTATTCCCTCCCACCCTGCAATGTCCTAATAGCAAGGCATTGTGCTCAGGTGCTAGAGATACAAGGATAAGTGATGTGGTTATTTATCTCAAAGACACTACCTTGGAGGACAGATAGAGCAATACACAAAATACAATACAAGGATCTTAAGGTAGAGAGAATATACCCAAAATACAGATGTTTATGAGTCTGCCAAAGACCCCCTGGGAGAAGAGAATCCTATGAATTTGCTATGGAGACTGGGGATAACATTTTGGAAAAGATACTGCATATGCAAAGTCAAAGAAATATGCCACCTGAAGGCATGGTGGAAATGAAATTAAGCAAGAGAGACTATAGTCACATGACCACAGAAGGCAATAAGCCCTTTCTCCTACTTGGCATTTGAAACTAGATGAGAAGATCACTGAGCAGACAAATCTTGTGTCTAACTCTGGACAGAACTATGCCTGATAGACACAACAGTTTTCTTAATTGAATTTTTTCATGTTTCATACAGAAAATCATCTATATACCCCTTCCCCTTTGGCACCTTCCCATAACTCCCACTGAAGTTTATACCTTCTGTCATTTTTGTTAAGGCCTATCATGTAAAGTTAGTGTCCCCAGAGGTCCCTTAGTGCAAGTTCATCTACTGGGATCTAGTCAGTCTATTTAGAGTCCCTCCCCTTAAGATCAGCTCATTCTCACTCAACAGTAATCAGCTGCCAATAATTCTTTGACTAAGGTTGGGGCCTGCTGTTCATTTCCCCAGTTCTGTGCTGGGTTTTTGTCTGCTTAAGTTTTCATGAGCCTTGTGCATACTGACACCAGTGCTGTAGGTTTGTATGAGAAGAAACCCAGGAGCCTGTAGGACTATTTCCATATGGTCATGCACCTCCTCCCTGGCTCTTACAATCTTTCTGCCCCCTCTTCTGCAATGATCCCCGAGCCCTGGGTGGGTGGATTTTAATATAGGAGTCCTGTCCAAGGACCGATTCTCTGTATTTTGGTCATTTGTGACCTTTTGTGTTCCTAGCTCTCTGTTGTAATGAGGGAGCTTCATTGATGAACTTGAAAGATGCAGTGGTGTTCTCTTCATCCCTTGTTCTATGTTCTGTGAACCTTAGGTGTAGATGTTGTATCCTAGATGTGCCACTTAGGCTTGGGCAATTCACAGACAATCTCTGTGTGTGACCAGGTGTAGAACTCTGTGACTATCCCTGTCTCTTGAAAAAGAGGCTTCTTTGATGGATGGTGACTGGGATACTTGTCTATAGATTTAGCAAAACTAGAAATCCACAAGGCGGTTCTCCAGCCCAAGCTCTTTGCTTAAATGGTGAAGTTTGTCCCTGGCTCCCACGTTGGACACTGGGAGTGGCTTCACATCAGTGTGGTTTGCCCTGAAGTTTTCCTGGAAATTGACATCAGGGCCTCTCTTCATAGAAGGAACCCTACGAAAATGGCATGAGTCATGGGGGTGGAGGTGGCAGATTTTAAATGCAGGTGGGTGTCAGTTCCTTTGAACACTGAGTGGAAGGGTAAGAGGCTCAGAAACTGGCCAGTTATGGTGAAGAAAGGGCAGGGGAAACAAAGTAGCTTTCTTTCTGGGTTTATATGAGAATATGGCCATCCTGGCATACTGTAAAAATAGTGGCTATCTTTACCAACTAGGCAGATTTTCTTCTTCAATTTGGCATGATTTTGAGTAAATAGACAATCAGGAAGGGAGGCAACAGATCTTTACGTTTCCTGTGGCACTTGGTTAGTTGATGTGGAAAATGGGGTTACAAGAGCTTGAAAAAGCTGTCACAGGATTCTAAGATGCTGGGATTGATGGAACTCTAGGAGGCAGATAACTTGATTACCTGTTAATTGATGAGCAAGTTCTTTTTTCTCCAAGTCTTCAATTTATTAGCAAAATAAAAAGTGCTCAAGGCTCCTGACTGTGTAGCACCATTTTAATTCCACTATATTAGACTATTTGGAGTTAATGAATTGAGGTCAAGATATTTGTTCATTCAACAGATCTATTAATTTTTAGTGTAATTAGGTACTATACTATGCTAGGCTTCAGGGATTCAAAGATCATTAAGATACTCCTACCTTCTAGGGGTTCACATTCTAGTGCAGAGACAATGCCAAGTGCTCCTTGGGGAGGAGCGAGAGCCAGATTAAAAAAAGATCAAGACATGACCAAAGAAGTCAAAGGATGACTATCAACTAATCAGAAAATGGTAGAAGGGCAGAAAAGGGAAGATTTTTACCACTTTTGTTATTCAGCATACTTATTTTGAAATCTGCTTATTCTGTAGTGGATTATCAAACATTTTACTTTACTGTTGAGTAATATTCAACTACATAGTTATATAGCAGTTCATTTATATATTAATATGTGAGTGGATGGATATTTGTTTCCAGTTTAGGACTAACACAAATCAAGCTGTTGTGACCATTACTATGTAAGTCCTCTTATGAACATAAACTTTCATTTCTCCTGAGAAAATTCCTGGAAGTAGAGTGAATTACTGGATCATAGATGCTTAACTTCTCACAAAACCAGTAAGCTATCTTTCAACATGAATATCATTGTACATTCCCACCAATATCATATAAGAACTCTAGTCCTCTTACATTATCACCAAGATTGGTGTGGTTAGCTTTTATAAAAAATGGCTTAGTTGGGTCTTTGTCCACTTTGGGTGTTAAAGTAGTCCATGAAATGGGGGTTGGGGCTGCTTCCTGGAAGGATGATAGAATGCAGTGATTTAAAGGGGAAGAGGAAAAATAATAAAGTAGGAAAGATTAAATGGAGTGAGAAATGGGAGGGCAGAGCAGAAGAGGGAATATGGGGAGAGTACGTATAAGTGTGTAAGTGTTACTTACATACTAAAAGCCTTTAGGAAAAGCCATTGTTGAAGATACTACAAAAATGAGCTGTAAGCAAACAAGGAAAAATCAAGCTGGTGCTAACTTCAGAGCCTTATCTGAAGTGCTATTTTCACACTATGCTTGCTACTGGGAGAGAAAAATAATCATCAACACTGCCCAGCAGTGAATTCTGGGAACTACAACAACTAGCTTGGCAAGATATGCCCACTGGTGCAATAGTGGCATAAATGTTATGGGAGTAACCAACGACCTTCTGCTTGGATTTAAGTCCTGCTTCACAAAATGGAGCCCATACTTGAAACTGATATTGGGATTAGGAACCTGTGGCTAGACAGGCCACAGGCCATAGGTAAGAACCAACTAATATTATTCTATATAGACATAATATTAAATCAACTACTAATGACTTACTGTTATATTCATTGATTAGTGCATC